CATAATGTGACGGAGGTATGTCGGTACGCAATCCTTCGTAAGACTGTCAGAAAGCATGGCTCGAGTATCGATCCATCGGATAATCCCTCCTTGGGATCGAAATTCATCCCGAAGAACAGCAACATCGATAGCGACTCGTTTGTCGCTGAACTGTGCTGATGTGCATGCGTCCTTCTTTAGGGCATCGTATAAAGATTTGCTATCCGTGACAGTTATAAAAGGGAGGGCCTTCAGGTGTTCCTCCCAAGACGAGTCAGTCAAAATCCCACTCAAAACTTCCAAAAGGAGCAGCTTATGCCAATTGATGGCACCTACCCCATTCACAAGAGCTTGGCTCTCGGCTCCTAGTGTACTGACTACCTTTCTCTTCAAACGGTAGCTGCGCCATGCTGCCAAAGTCACCGGAGTTGGTTGCTGTGACGATGTAAGGCGCTCATCATAGTACACTACAAACTGACCTCCCTGACTATTCAAACATTCTCGTTGCTCGACTAGAGGTCGAATCAAAGAACTGGGGATTTTGTCTTTCTTGTGCAAAGCTTTCTGAAAAACAGTTTTTCCAGTCCAAGATTCATTGGCCTCACGGAGACTTTGAGGATCGTTCCAAGAGTCCGTTTCTGTGAAGCAACCGTGCGATGTCAGTCTCTCGGTACGGCGTGAGGCTTGAAGAACATGTGGGCTAGGACCATCAGTGCAAAAATCAGGGTGAAAATATGTTTTCCTCGGAACTCTGTGGTGCCTCACCCAAGTATCTTCACACTCTTCCCAAAAATCTTCCCTGAGCGAATCCTCGAGCCCCAGGCTGGACTCCCTGGCGTTGCCCCAGGAGGCGTCTGTCACCACTCCAATTCTCAAAGAGTGAAGTGGAATAGGTTGAACCAAAATTCCCAACTGTTTGTGAGCGATTGCCTCTTGCGCTAGCTTGTTTGCTTGTTCAAGATCTTTCACTCTTGGTGTTGGAAACGATTGTTGCAACAGTGAGACTCTTCCAGCTAGGTCACCTCGGGTCTCCTTACTCAACCAGGCCAAGACACCCAGGAGCTCACGAAGTTGAGCAATCTCCTGGGCCGTGCAACGGTCAAAGCGCTGCATTTTCCGTTTCCGGTCGATGGGGATGCACTTCACCTTGTCATCCACATAATGTGTTTGGGTGATGGAAATGGTTCCGTCGGGTCTAGCTTGAATCTCCTTTCCCGTGAAGCGGCCCGAAGTGGTCTGGTTCTTTCCCAACTTGTATGCAGTTGCAATCTTGTTGATGTTGTCCCAGTGTTTGTCTGTTCCCCCATGAAAAACATCATCTGTAGCAATGCCCAAAATACCACAAAGCTTTCCCGAAGATGGTTTTGAACCGGCGGTCGACGTTGAAGTGTCAGCTTCAAACAGATAAAACACACATGGGTCCAGTTTTGATTGTTGGTACCCCAATTTCTTCAAATATCGACACAGATGTTCAAACCACTTGTGAGGCCCATCAGTGAGCCCATAGCAATGCTTCAAGAGTTGGATCAACTGCCGGGGATCTGCGCCTGGTATGCCTTCTTTAGGCTGCCGGGCATACAACTCACGATTGATCCTGTCTCCGGAGTGAAATGCCTGGGTAAAATCGATGAATCCGGGATTCCAACTCAAGCTGCTCAAAATTTGGGCGATCAGAATCACTGAGTCTCTTGTCACCTGTGGTGTGGTGGTCTCCACGTCCAGTGCCGAGGGTTCTGAGAAACCTTGCATGACGTGTCTGCACTTTGCTTTGACTGGACCATGTTCTTTGTCATCTAAAAGGATGTCTTCCACTCGGGCTTGCGGAATGTCACCCTCTTCAAGAGGCTTCTTGGATAAAACATAGCGGCTGCCCATAATCTTCTCAGGTTTTTCTGCTGCAATGTTTTGTGAAGTTTCCACGTCCAGGAGTCGGTATGCTCCTGATGCTAAGTTCTGGTTGATTTCCTTCGAGATGGACTTCTGTAGACGGGGAAAATCAGCACCCTTGAAATCCTTGGCAACAAATTCCTTTCTTTTCTTCATAAGGCCAGAAACAGCAAGATGAAACAGTTCCAAAAATTCCGTTCGTTGTCGCTTGTCCGGAGGTTGTGAATCCTCCAGGTCATCAGAAACAAAATCATCCGCCGGTCGTTTGTCATGTCTCACGTCTTCATGTTCATCCGAAATCTCCATCGGCTCCGCAATTGGCACTGCTGGAACCGGTTCCGACCCGATCTCAACGGGGTTCGGAGTTGGCTCTAGGTCCGGGAGAACGTCAGGTTCAGGAACTGGTTGAACGGGTTCACGAGGGACATAGTCAGAAGTCTTTTGTTTCACTCTCCTAGCTGGTTCCGGAAAAAGTCCTGGAGGGAAAGGAAATTCTGGTGGAGGACGAGGTTCCTCTTCCGGTGGTTCTATTGTAGGTGGAATTTCTATCTCCGGATCTTCACCGAGTTCAGCTGTGGTCGGTGGTGGTTCGGTCTGTAAGTCTATGATCCCCTTGTTCTGTGGCTGTCGAAGTTGTTCTCGTAGAGTGGTCAGACCCTCGAGCCATTGAGACAATGTCTGAGTCTCTTCTTCACTAGCTGGCCGAATGCGCTCTGGTGATGCTTTAACAATGTTGTTCCGGAACGACAGCCAAATTGTGTTAGGCATATCAACCAAAAGAACTCGAGCTGGGCCTCTCCAGTAGAATTCTAGTGGTTTCTTCTGGGTGTCAGCTCCTCTACGGAAAAAGTACACCACCTGTCCGGGCTCGTAGTGTCGCCACGGTCGAGGCCCTGCATAGATTGCTCTCTGGAGCGACTGCTGGCAGTCCGAGTCGAAAAATGCTTTAGATGTAGCCTTTCGTAGCTCCATGCTTCTGACGACGGCCAAATCACTGGGCTTCTGTAACTCCAGATTCTGAAGGTTTGGTTCCCGTCCAGCCATGAGTTCTCCGGGTAACCGTGGTGTATACCCCAAAACACGCTGAATGGGAGAGTAGCCCCCACGAAGCAAGAGTCTATTGCGTACCATACAAGTGGTGTCCACGGCGTCTTTCCAAGCTTCATCCGTTTCGCAGGAAACGGTGTTCATCGTTTTGTACAAAATGTTCTTGTAAGTTTGTCCAGCCCGTTCTACCAAGCCACGTTGTTGCGGACTTTCTAGGGATGATGGAACAAATTCTGATCCATCTTCTTCCAACATTTGCACAAACACTGATTTGAATTCTCCACCTAGGTCACCATATACACGAGTTGGTACACCAAACAGCTTGACCCACTGACGGTATGCTGTGCGAGCGGCTTTCGCAGTGCTGGATCCCATGGGGACCACAAGTTGAAAGTGCGAGGCATAGTCGATCATGTTCAGCGCTGGAACTGTTCTATGATGGTGATCGCGAAGATGAATGGTGTCAACTCCAATCAGTTGATTAAAGTGAAGGTTTTCCCGAGGAGGCGCGCTGTTCCGTTTGGTTGCTGGAGTTTGAAACTGGTGGCAAACAGAACACTTCAATCTCTTGGCACATTCCAAAACCTCTGGTTTTGCTCCACTTGCTTTCAGAATGCGAACGAAACGATTCGTTTCCGGATGTCCTAGTCCTTCGTGGGCCCTTCGGACAAGGCGCTCCAAAGTCACGACGCGAGCTCCAGGAAGCTCTCGAGACTTCTGCCAAGCAAAAACAGTGACAATGTCCTTAGTGTCCTCAAGTTCCAATTCCAGGTTCTCAGGGTCCAGTTCAGTCATCGCGTCCATCTTGATCAGCTGTTTGGTTGAAAGGTCGAAAGTGAATCGCCGTTCGATCACCGGGGTCGCTGGACCGTCACCACCTGGTAGCTGGAGCTTGGAGGACTGTAGATCGGTCCTAGTCCAGAACTGCCACTGTCCTGCTGGAAGGTGGTCCTGACACAGTTGGGTGAATTCGTTGGCCCTTACTCCAAGAGCAGGAGCTACTGGTAGGTCAGGTAGATCTCTCATAGCCGGTGGTTCATCAGCGGCAAGGATCTGGTACCGCTCCTCCTCAGTGAAGTAGTTTTGGCTTATGCGATCATCCTCTTGGATGACATCAGCAGCAACTTGGAAGTGAATGTCGCGCATAGCCAAGTGGCAGGAAGCCGCATAGGCTCGAAGCACTCGGTCGACCAGGCCCTGTGGGTATTCTTGAGCTTGTCGAGATCGAGGTCCTCGAGAATCACTACCAAGTACTTCTTCATGGATGTGCGATCCATCACATTTCACTTCTAGAGCCTTGAGGACGGTCGGGTTGTTCCCCAGGAAGCTCGTTGGTTTCTTCGCGGCATGGCCGGACGTGATGAAGCGCAAGCCCATCATACATTGGTCGCCATGGACAAGTTCAATATCGGGATCACGTAATAGTTGTCGGATAGGCTGTTCAAGCCAAGAGCGAGCAGTTCGGGGTTGTTCAAACAAAAACGTGAGACCAAGACGATGACATTCCCAACAAACTAACGCAGCAAAACGGAGAAGTTTTCTGGCTTCTTTCAGCTTGCTCATGTATCGACGCGCAGCATTCCAGTCTCTATCACGAAGTGACTTTGAAAGATTCTGCAAAGCACTGAACGGTCCACATGGTGGCAAGATCACTGTCAATCCGGGTCGTTCGTGTCGAATGTGAGACAAAACAGAATGCTGAGCTCGTGGGTCTAGGAGGTTATCTCCAAGTGAAATGTCAAAAACTTGCCCTTGATTCAAACCATGTCTTTTTGTCCGAGGTCCAAAACGGTTTGGGTTGAAGACTTCGGTCACCAGTCGCAAATTGGATGGTTCAATGTGAAAAAGCTGTGAGAAGGTCTTTAGCTGCTTCTTGCTTGGCTGTCCAATGTCACGAGCTACCTGATGTAAAAGAGATTCTGTTTCCACATGTTTCGTAGGGTCATCAACCAGGTATTCCAGCATATATTGCCAAACAGTGGTTGCAGCACTCAAGCTAGCATCAATCCGATGACCATGAGTCGGATTTATAGTAGTCTCAACGGTTGGAAGACTAGCAGATTCCCTTCTCTCACTTGGCTCATCATTCACTTGGAGCCCTGGCTGCCGCGACGGAGCCTTTGGAAAGCCTGGAACTGCTCCCACAGTTCCTGCTCGCTCTCCGAAGGAATTGGCTCCCTGGACGATGTCGCCTTGGGACCCGTCTTGGAGACCTTCTCCAGGAGTTTGCCGCAGTCCAAGCACTTGGTCTGGGTGATCCAGCCGTTTGAGCCGGATTGAGTGGTCCGGTGATGTGGGCATTGGTGGTACCCGATCATCTCGGCCTCGTCGCTGGGGCAATCCGGATTTTTCCACTGTGGTTGGTTCTGAGTCCATTGGAAGAAGGTGCACCTCGTCATGGGGTTCTGCCACTTGGGGCATCGCCAGAAATGGCGTAGATAGTTGCGACCGCCCTTGTAGGTGGTCAGTCGTACTGCCGCCAGTCGACATTGACAGTATGGAGGATTCTCGAAGATCTCCGTCTGAGCTGAGCACGGCTTTGGAGGTGAGGCTGAGCTGGCTCCGCAGGGTCTGCCCGGAGATGATGGAGAAGCCGTCGAGCTCGTCCATCTGCCGACTTTGAATTTGTTCCTGACATAGCTGCATCAGATCCTCGAGTTCGGATGTCTCGAGGAGTGGAAGGTCGCGAGCCATCTGCTGCAGACGATAGCCCTTGAAGCCGGTCATATTGAGCCGGCCTGAGACCAGGTGCTGCATGGCTTGGTTGACCAACATCAGCACACGGAGCATCAGGTGCCGCCAGCGCTGCATCGTCACTGTGGAGGGTTCCTCGCAGTCCATTGCACGGGAGCGCTTGTGAGATGCCTGCATCGGCTTGGGGCTTTTCCACAGTCGAATCGCGAGAGCTTGTTCGAGCCCAGGTGCTGAAGATCTCATGCTCGGTACACTGTTCTCGAAGTCGTTGTGCACCGAGCTTCAAATTGTGTTTCATCCTTTCAGAAAAATCATGCAAATGAACACGAAGAGCTCCAGTTGGACCCAAGTGTAAGGGAATTGTTTTGTCATATTTCCTCAAATACAATTGAAGTCCAGAAGTAGGATCTAGTTCTAATACTGCACGACACTCCAGCAAGAACGGCAAAGACAAGAGAAAGGGTGCGTGACTGCCGTGAGGATCTTCAAAAACAGCAGGACGAAGAATACATCCCTCTGGGCCCAGACTATTTGGAATACATGCCACTTTTGTGGTTGATGACACCCCATGCACACTACAAAAACGATGTGTCTCCGGAACCAGCATGATGTCTAGATCCTTAGGCAAGGCTTCAGAAAGACGACGAAGTGTTTCCAGTCCGATGGCTGAACGTTGGCACCCTGTGTCAACAGTTGCACATGATCGTTCATCAACATCAAATCTTTGTAAATGTTTCATGGTCTCCGTCAAAAACACCTGGTGTCGCTCCTTGTACGCGGACTGGGACGCCGCGGAGTTGTCAAAAACCTGAGGTCCGGTCGGAACTTGTCGCTCAGACCGCCACTGCTGAACAGCTACATCTAATGGATTCCAGTCCTCGGAGGACTGCAAGTGGTGCACTTCAGCTACCGCTTCATGACCGTGGTTGGCCTTGTAATCCTGGAACTCAAGGAAGTGCACGAACATGGCTTCATCGGTCTCGAGGAGCTGTACCTCTTTGCTGGAGCTGCCCGACTTCTTCAGAGGGCACTCACGGTGCCAGTGACCGATGGCCTTGCAATGGCCGCATCTGGTACGGCTCTTGAGTTCTTCAATGCTGACTTTGTATGTTCCCGGTGCAATACCGGTTCTTCCACTCCCGTATTCTCGGGACAATTCCTTTGTCTTTTTCATGCGGGTCACGTTGGCGAAGGTCCGCTTGCCAAAGCCCTTGCCATAGCCCTTGTTACCACCCTTCAAAGCGTCACGAACCATTGTAGCCAGGATTTCTTTGGCCTCGGATTCCTCGAAGATCTCATGCTCTGGCTCAAGGCCAATGTCTTCCGCTGCCGCCATCAAGACCTCATAGTCAGAGTCCTGGTAATCGATGGAGCCAGCCTCCTCGGTCTCGGGCTCATCAGGAGTCTCTGCATAGTAAATCGACTTTTTGTCGTTATTCTTTGCAACGTCCTTCTGTCCCATCTTGAAGTCTAGTTCCGTTTCATGAACTCGCATCCATTCCTTGACATCGGCGACCAACAGGCTGCCCTTGCAATAGTTCATCAACAACTTCACTTCTTCGGTGGTGAGCTGCAATGCCATGATGTAAAGGAAACCCAGGTATTCAGGGGGCAAAACAACACCATGTTCCTTCACCTTCCGAACAGCGTTTTCCCATTTTGCACTAAATTCCCGATGGGATTCTCCACGAACACGTTTGAGTTGATAGGTCAACTTCCCCAAACAGTGAAGCATGTCCTCACGAGAGTCATCCCCATAGAATTCACGAGTTCCCATCATGTCAATGAGTTTGATCCCGTTGCCAGGATCCGCCAGCCAAGAATCATCGTTGTCCAGGTGCTTAAAGTTCTCGAAGGCATTGCCGGTCAGGCCCTTCAGTAGCAAAGGTCCTCGAGTCCTGGGTTTAGCCTTAGTCGTAGCTAACCAAAGCTTTGCACGGATCTTGAAGTCCTTGAAACCACCTTGGCCATCGAAAGTCGGGGGTGGTCCTGCATTTGACCGCTCATGAGAATCATCGTCCTCACCTGACTCGTGTCCACGTTCACGACGACGCGGCTCGAAGTCTCGTCGAGGTGGGGGCGACGAAAAAGGGTTTCCTCCATTCTCTCTGGCTCTGGCCTCAACAAAATTCAAAAACTGCCTGAATTCGGATGAGTCATTCCCCGCAGGACGCCGCCAAGCATCCTCATGTGAAGACTCACCATCTCCCTCTCTGGAGCTAGGGCCGGGTCGCCGGCCATCCGGAGAAGGTAGAGGGGAACCCTGCTCAGTCCGTGGTGGTGTGGAATGAACAGGAGGTGATCCATCAACATCAGCTGCAGTAGACATACTACCCCGAAGGAAGCCAGCACTAGCAAGGTCAGTCAACCAACGACTACAAACCCAAAGGCCAGTTGAACCGGCTCCGCTACCACCCTGTGAGACACAGGGTGGTAGGGGCCTAAGCAAGTGCTACCATGGCAGCGAACGATCGGTTTTCGTCACCTCAGGCTTGAGCCACCATCCGGTGGAAGGTCGTTAACGAAGTGTGCCCCTTTTGGGCTTCCGTGGATGACGACCAAGCTCAACGAAATCACAATATATATATATACATACACAGTAATTAGGCGGAGTTCAGTTTTTATCTGTGTTCGACGTTCTCCGCCTAAGTACTGAACTTGCTGGTTCTTGTTATGTCTTGCAAATACGCTCTTCCAGATGTGAGAGCAAACTTCAAAGGACTGCGTAATGGTTTTGGGTTCTCGTCGCTAGGATGTCAATGCCCCGCAAGCTGATCCTTGAAATGTGTTTTGCAAAATGGCAGCTCAAGGCCATCGTTTCAGCCTGTTTCAGCTCTCCAGGTGTTGCTGAGACATCATCACCCCTTGCTGCGCGCTCGTTTGGTCGAGGAACCTATGATTTTGTGCGCGTTGGCTGAAGGTGGGGAAGCAAGCATTGCCTGGTCTTCGTGTTACCTGCGGCGCGGACATGATCATGTGTGGTATGGGTGACACGAGGTAATAGTATAGTGTGACATTTTCGCAACCTTGCAACGAATGGTTTTGCAATGCTTACGTACCCTCAGAGCTGTTTTGGATGCCACCCCAACAAGCGAGTTTTATATAGATTTGCTTGATTCACATTGGACCGCATCGTTTGTTCCCAACGCGAGCAGACACATCCTTCATGTGGCCTCTAACAGTCGCTTCATAGGCCAAGGCCATGGTCTCTTTGAACCAAGAGAGCAGAAGATCGAGAGCGGAAGATCGAGCAGGTGCGACACTCGTCTCGAGCAGGTGGGAACTCGTCTCACCAAAGGCCGCGGTGGTGGCGTGGCGAAGTCTTAAGGCCAGGATGGACAAGAGCTGACATGGAATGCCTGGTCCGGCCTCAACCTACGCAGCACTTTCTTCTCTCAACCCCCAACTTAGTTGCCTCGATCTATGGCAGAACTGTTCATGATAGGTACACAATGGTACACAGGTACATGATACTTGAATATCGCGTTCCGCGTATGACCCTTTGTGACACTAGCGGCTAGCATATAAAGTGGTAGACTCTAGAGGGACCCTGCATCAAACCAGCCAGTTCCTGCTCTCGTGGCGCGACGCGCGTGCCAACAATGCTCTTAACACACCGATCCCCTGCGAAGGCCCTGGGCGCGCCAGCTCCGACGCTTGGTGGCGGTCCTGCGGGGTGGCTGGAGCCAGGCACGGGCGCCCTACGAGGAACAACTGCGGCAGTGGCAGGCGGGCGGTTCCGGCAGTAGTGGAGCGGTGGCGGCCCACAGGCCAATTCCCAAGCAAAAGAGCGGAACAAGGCTTGGCCTCTCCTAGCCATCCCAGCCCCAGTTCCTTCGTTTATTTTGGGTGGAAAATAGGTCGTGATGAATTATAAACATGTTTCAGGTCTGGCAGGCTTGGGTGAACATGTATTCATTACTGCCATAGGTTTGAACCAACGAATGTTTTGGCTCAAGTGACTTGGCCAAAATAGCGTTTGTTCTCTCTTTTTGAGGGCGGAACCCTTGGAGAGACAGTTCTTTTTTGTGCAGGGAGGGACCCTGTTTTCCCATGAGCGAGTTGGGAACCAGCCTTGCTGCCTACACCAGGTACCAGGTGATCCATGCCGCCGCGTGGATGGAGTTCAGCGCTCACCTTCAGGAGCTGGTTGCTGAGGGGCGCGAGCAGGAAGCTTTGCGCCTCTGGGCCTCCGTGGTGGAGTTGGTGCATCTGGGGTCTCCAGGGCAACCCCTCTCCATCGCTGGGTTCCCCCCGGTTCGTCGGTTCGTATGTACCACCATTCCGTGTGCAAGGTGCACCGACCGTCGGGGCGGCTTCCAGTTCCCATGGGTGGGCGTATGGAACCGCCGCTGCTTGCTGGTTCAAGAGGGACTTGGGCCAGCGGTCGCGTGGCAGCGTTACCATGCCTCTGCGGCGCGCTTGGACCGCCTGGCGCTGCAGTGGATTGCCTTTGACCTGGGCCCGTTGGACATCTTGCCGGTCCACGTTGGTTTGGCCGTGGAGCGGCTGGACGACGGGGACGATGGCCTCGACACCGAGGAGTTCTTCGAGCTGGTTCGGCTTTGGCAGCAGGGGAGGCGGCCATGGCGGGAACCATGGTCGTCCCTGGTTGGGACCCCAGGTATTCCCCGTGAAGTCGCGAATGCAGGCCGATCCATCCGTGCGATCCTGGGGGCCGTGGCCTATGACGTTGAGTACATCCCCCCCCCTCTGCCTCCTTTGTCGCCTGCCCACGTTCGAGTCCTGTCGAGTCTGTCGATCGATCGTTTGTGAGAGCTGCAACTTCTGGTCACGGCAGTGCCCGTTGTGCATCGACAGTTCTGGCTCAGACTAGTGCGATAGTCCTTGCAGGGCTCATGGCTGACAGGGGGCGCTACGCGGTCGAGTCAGCGGGGAGCTCCAGGTGGGACCCGGACACCTCGTCTGAAGTGGCCCAAGCCGCCCGTGTTCGCGAGTTCAGGGAGCAATACCACCTCTTGGACGATGCGGACTTCGCCTTTGCCTTTCGGTCAGCGGAAGAGGCCTTGTTGGCCGGGGGCCGGGGATTGGCCGATGCTTGGACCAAGGCCCGCTCCGAGCAGACTGAGGAGCTGATGCCGTTGGCGGCCTCTACAGTGGAAGCTGGCTCGAGTCGTGACAGGCCGGCACATGCTCTTCACCTACCCGCTCCTCCAGTACCTGTTCGGAAGGGAGTGACCCTTTCGCAACAAGCCTTCAGTGCCGACAGTGTGAACAGGCGAGTGGAAGCGCTGGCCAAGGTGTTCGAGGACGCTGGGATTCATCGCCCTTCCGTGGGGAACCTCTCAGATGCGATCCTAGCTGAGTGGAAACTGCAACTCACTCGATTGGCGCAGGTCAAAGTGACCAAATCGGAACCTCAGACAGTGGTGAATGCTGTGCGCACGTGGTCGGAATTGGTCAGCTTTATGCGCTCTCGAGATAGGACTACGATAGAGCATTTGGATTTGGCGTCATTCCTGGCCTCCGGCTCCAAAGGACCAAAGCGGGCATTGAACTCGCTTCGCTGGTTGAATAAACTGGGGCATTTGGGGTGGCAGTTGGATGCGATCGTGCTGGATCCACCGGCCTCACGGCGGGCAGCTGCGCGATCCCAGGCTCTCGTTGTCGAGCCGCCCATGCTCACCCACCTGGAGCGTGGCATCAAGGAAGCCTTCACCCGACAGGATCCTCGCTGGACTGCGATGCTGGGAAGTTGGATCGTTGGCGTAGGGGTACTACGCTACCGGCATGTCCAACGCGCTCAGATGGTGCGATTGTCCCGCTCCACGATGTACTGCCATTGCCCCAAAGGGAAGCAGGCGAGCAAACGTGATGGCTTTGACTTCTCCATCCCTTCGCAGTTCACAGATGGCTGGCCCTGGGCAGAGCATGTGGTGGCCCTTCGGAACCAGTTGCCTGAGGCCCAACGAGATGAAGGCGGCCTCTGCTTCAATCGGGAAGGCCGCGCGTGGGACATCTCTGAGGTGCAAGCCGCCGGTCGTGAGCTGTTCCAGGACCTTGTGACCGACGTGGCCGACCTCTCCACCTACTCGTGGCGCCGGCTCATGCCCACGGTGGCGTTGCTGGCCAAGTACACCCCGGTTGAGATGGTGGCCTTAGGGGATTGGCAGTCCAAGAGTGAGCTACCTCAGGAGGCCGCCATGCCGACACACTACGCAGGCAGCCGTGATCTCGTTAGCGTGAGGCTCAAACATCTGTCGCTGGGGCTTGTCGCCAGGTTGGGCGAATTTGGCGCCTGGGAACTGGCAACTCCAGCCGCCATCACTGCCGCAGTGGACGCGGCCAAGCCCGAGGTGCAGCGGGCGGTGAGCCTCGACAAGCACAGCTTGTGGGACAAGCCGATGTCGGTGGCAGCAGCGCAGCGCGCGTTCGCTTTCTCGCGAGAGCGTGCAGCGCTCACAAGAGCGGCACAGGCCAGTTCCAAGCGCTCCGAAGCTG